GGGGCGGGGGTTTGGGGGCGGGGCGGAATCCATATGGGAAGCAGTGACTGACAATCACCGCTCACTGCAGACGATTTTCACTCACCTCATAGTTGTTCTTTAAAGTCACAAATCCCACCCCTAGATGCTGCTTTAAAGACTTACCTCTTGAGCCGATCATCTTCTTCCTTCCAGTAGTTTTCAGCAGTCCCTCCAGTGCTGGTACCGGCGCTGACTGACCGGCGCTGACTGCTGCGTCTTCTGTGTCCCGCAGTGTCTCTCCGACGTGCAGACTCACGGCTGCGTTCATTCACTTACACAGAGTCTCTCCTCGTCAAAGATCTCTACTGTGCATGCGCCTGCACCATCATGCTGCTTGAGAATCTTCAGAGGGCAACGACCGGCGGAGACACGGGTAAGTAATTACCGATTTGGGAACTTTTTTATTATTTTTATGTTTTTCCATATATCTTCTGCTTGTTAGCAGTAGATTTATGCAAATACTAAAAAAAGTGACTTTAAAAAGGCACACAAAACAAAAACAAAAATATACAAAATTCCTAGTAAAAATAAAAGGGCAACGAATTAATAAATAGAAAATATTGGTCAATTTTAAATTGTGTTTAATGTAAAACGATGAAAACATTTTGGAGGTTTGCTTTGTAGTAATGCCCCATCCGCAGTAGGTGTGTGTTGTGATAAAATGATCCCGGAATATATTTTTATTGCAATGCAGCGAGTTATAATGTGCAACAACGCACCGCCGTGCTTTTTATTTTTTAAGTGATAAAAGGAAAATACAATTAAAAACAAAAAAACACCAAGCACTGCCATGCTTTGTAACCATGCACTGCAGCACATGTGCACAACTCACACCAGCACGTATGTGCACCATAACGCACACTCACCAGTGTGAATCGGTGCCTCCTGTGTTGGTGCACTGCAGTGACGCAACGCGCAGTACGGCTTTTATCGTACGGACATGCCACAAACGCGTCGAACATCATACGATGCTCGGCGGGTTTTCGAACATGTCCGTAAGTTAAAAGTCGTGCGACCTTACAGTAGTAGAGGTCGCGCGGCTTCCACACACCTTACGATAATCGTATGATTGCAGGATTTCCCGCGATTATCGTACGATTATCGTAAGGTGTGTGGGGACCTTAAGTTTGTGTGTGTAATTATTGCTTTTTTTTTTTTAATTACTAGTAGAGGCTTTATTCCTTCTGTTCCTCAGTTCCATCTGGTGGCCATAATGCGGTACTACATCACAATACCTTCGACGTGAAAATAAAATATATTAAAAATGCACAAAAACAAACATTCACAGATATCTGCAGGGCGAGTGGCCCTGCAAATTGTTTCAAAAATAGTCCCCTTAAAATCTAAATCCATTTAGATGGGGGGGTGCTTATAGCCCCAATAATTACAAAGTGATAAAAATCTGGCACGGGCTCTAAGCCTTCCACATGCTATCTCAAATAAAGTTAAAAATTATAGATGAACTTAGGGGATACGATAGCCAACTGACTCCGTGCCAGAATAGGGGCAAAGGGTGTAGGTGTATAGTAGTCGATGCCCCATAAATGCCAGCAAAGGTGACAGGGCATGGGTGTAGATCAGTTTCTACCATATAAAATGTCAACACAGGAAGATAGAAGACTATAGTAGTAGATGCCCTATAAATGTCTACACAGGCAGAAAGGGCATTGATGTATAGTAGTAGTTGCCCCATAAAAGGTCTACACAGGGAGACGGGGCACACAGTTGATGCCCCATAAATGCCAACAAAAGGAGACATGGCATGGGTGTATAGTAGTAGATGCCACATTAATGTGTACACAGGTAGACAGGGCACGGGTGTATAGTAGTAGATGTCCCATAAATGTTTGCACAGGAAGACAGGGCACGGGTGTATAGTAGCAGATGCCACATTAATGTGTACACAGGTAGACAGGGCACGGGTGTATAGTAGTAGAGGCCACATTAATGTGTACACAGGTGGACAGGGCACGGGTGTATAGTAGTAGATGCCACATTAATGTGTACACAGGTAGACAGGGCACGGGTGTATAGTAGCAGATGCCACATTAATGTGTACACAGGTAGACAGGGCACGGGTGTATAGTAGTAGATGTCCCATAAATGTGTGCACAGGAAGACAGGGCACGGGTGTATAGTAGCAGATGCCACATTAATGTGTACACAGGTAGACAGGGCACGGGTGTATAGTAGTAGAGGCCACATTAATGTGTACACAGGTGGACAGGGCACGGGTGTATAGTAGTAGATGCCACATTAATGTGTACACAGGTAGACAGGGCACGGGTGTATAGTAGTAGATGCCACATTAATGTGTACACAGGTAGACAGGGCACGGGTGTATAGTAGCAGATGCCACATTAATGTGTACACAGGTAGACAGGGCACGGGTGTATAGTAGTAGATGCCACATTAATGTGTACACAGGTAGACAGGGCACGGGTGTGCAGTAGTAGATGCCACATTAATGTGTACACAGGTAGGCAGGGCACGAGTGTATAGCAGTAGAGGCCACATTAATGTGTACACAGGTAGGCAGGGCACGGGTGTATAGTAGTAGATGCCACATTAATGTATACACAGGTATTTGGTGTATAGTAGTAGATGTCCCGATGGAGCACAAGTGAAGTGAAATCACCGCACATGTAGTCATTTGTCGTCTTCCTCCAATAACAGAAGGTCCATACAGACCTGAAGGGGAACGTCAACAATACAAAGCCATGAAGCACGGATGCCGATCGCAATGCTCTGCTGGCTTCAACGCACAAATGTAATGAATGCACATTTGTTTTATATTAGCAAGGAGCATTCATTATGACATTGTTGCAGAAGGTGGACTATGTCTTTAAACAATCCAGAAACAGAGATGGTCTCCATCACAAACCCAGAGCTTGTAGACAGAATAGTGCACCAGCACTACTCATCCAGGCTGATGGCAGAGGATCCAGAACACAGGAGACCCATCAGGTACATATGGGGAAGTTGTAGTTCATTGTCTGATCAGGGGGTACACACATATTTGGAGGCTGGAACTCATAGTCTGATGGGGAAGTGGGGGTTACACACAATTTGGGAGGTTTGAAGCCCAAGGTTCTGAACAGGGGGGTACACATAGACATTGGGAGGTTGAAGCTCAGTCTGATCATGGGGTACATACATAAGGGGGGGCACACATACATATGGGGTGGCAATAACCACATATATAAATAGGGAGATCGGAGCTGACAGTTGCAGTCATGTGACCGATGCGAGTCACGGTGTGCAGGTAGCGGAGTATACAGCAGAACTCTGGTTAGATCCGTTCTGTGCTCTCCTCGCACAAAGCTGACTATACATGAGGAGATGTGTATATAGTAATCACACGTATTCGGGGTCCCCACCATCACATCACTGCACGCCTCCATTGCCGGCTCCCCAGCAGGATGAATAGAGCCCGGGGTGATAACATACAGGGAAGATCACTGACTCCGCAGGAAGTTTATCACAAGTTAATGTCAGCTTGTGTGTGTGTGGCCGGGTGTGGCTGCTTCACTTACCGGCACTGCGGGCGACTCTCCAGGGTGCGGGCTGAGGCCACACCAGAGACTTCACCACCGGAGACATCACAGCAACTCTGCCCGGGGTCCGCTCTTGTCAGGTAGGACAGCCCCCGGGGCAGCAGGGCGGGTCAGGAGAGGATGGGAGGGGCGAGGTGAGGATGTACAGCCAGGCGGAAGCTCGGTTGGTTGTACTGTACAGACTCCTTCCTCGTCCCTCCGTCTCTCCCTCTCACCCCGCCCTCTCTTCTCTTAGCCACTCCCTCCAATATTTTGCCTCTAATAGATATGAATGCAGGCTGGGGCGGGGCAGTGGGTGAGGAGCTGGCACTGGGCGGGGCTAAGGGGAGGTGAGGACTGAGGAGCATATGTACGGGATGAGACCTTCTATAAATGTGTATCGTGTGACATAAACACACACACGTCTCCTATACAGGAACATTTCCCATGTGCTGTCTTTTCCAATCTGCCTTCATACTTTCGCACTGTGGGAAATTAATGTATGAGCGCAAAGCTATAGTGACAGGGAGCATTGGATACATGTAGTACTTTCCCCAGAATATTGTTTTCACCTGTTGGATCGTTCAGGATAGGGGAACGGACTTGCAGCTCCATTGATTCCCCCTCTCCATCTGATCCAGGGGAATTACAAAGAGTGATCCATCCAAGAACAAGACCCCCTCCTTGTCTGAGCCCCGGCCCTGACAGAAGAACTACTGGTGCCAGCAAGAGGAGTGTGCCTCCAACTCACATGAGCTCCAGACACACTTCCCGCCCTTCATCCCTGTGAAGCAAAAAGCCACAGCACAGAATCCATACTGTTCCAGCAGCTACTGATCTTCAACACTGTCCTCCTGTAGTGTGCTACTCCCAGGAGGGGGGAGGTCAGTGACCCAGCAATCATTTCCTCCCCAGCCTGTCACCTCTTTTTGGAGACAGAGCTCTGTATGGAAACCTGAGGCTTGTTCAGTTCCTGAGCCAAGCCCTGAGTAGCTGTTCTGCAGCAGTTTTATTGAACGCTTAAACTGCACAGCGCTAAGTAAAATGGCGGAGGATAATATTTTTGACTAATAAATACAATTTTCCAACTAATATTTGGTGTGCTCGTCCACCAAATTTTAGCTGAGGTGACCTGTGTGTTACTTTCTGGCTCAGTGCCTGTCTCCTGTACAGGAACTGCAGCCCCCAGTGTGAGTTCCTCCATGGCAGACACAGTAAATACAGCTGAGCCTTAGTAGCGATTAACGCATTATTTGGAATCCCAAAACGCATAGTGTGAATCAGAATGAATGCAGGTGGAAGTCAGGCCCCAGTTGCCCCTATGTGCCCGCTCTGGGTATAGCACTGCTGAGGCGTGTTCAGTTCCTGAGCCAGGTGCTGAGTAGGTGTTCTGCAGCACTTCAGTTCGCTTCAGCAGCTCCACTGAATGCTTTGGCTGCACAGTGCTAAGCAAAATGGCGGATGATAATATTTTTGACTAATAAATACAATTTTCCAAGAAATATTTGGTGTGCTCCTCCACCAAAACATTACATTGTAAGTTCCCACACTGAATTGTGATTTCCTGCATCAGAGTTCAGGTACTTTTCTCCAGCGCTGCCAGGTGTCTTGTGCCCACAGTTAAAATGGCCGCTGGTGCTCTGTCCCCACATCTCCATCATACTCAGCACTCTGCATCCACTTTCACTTCAAGCGCTAAGTTAGCAGTGCTGAGCGCTGACTTGCAGCACAGCGTTCAGTCGCAGTTTTCCAACTCAGCACTCGCAGCAGCTGAGCAACTGAATGCGCCTCTGGTCTCATAGACTTCAGCACTGCAGTGATATCTCTGCCCCCCTCTCCTCCTGGCCAATCAGAAAATAGAGCCCATGTCTGTTTGCTTTGTATTTGGCCAGGAGGAGAGGGGAACATATATGTCACACTGAGGTCTATGAGACTTGCAGCACTGCAGCCATGGTGGACATGGAATTCAGCGGGAGCTGGACTTACACCTGCGTGTACAGTATACTGATGATCTGCGGGGAGAAGGAGGAAGTTCTGATTATGGAGGATGGCTTTACAGCAAATGCACCTTACTGAACTCAAGTGAGATTTCTATGGCCGGAAATCAGGCTTTAGTACATTGGGGGCCCTCCCTCATCACAAAAGCACTTTATAGTTAAAACAAAACAAACCTGTATGGGATAAAAACCCTATTCCCTGACTTCTGTCCACAGCACCTAGGTGGAATGACATCATCCTCCTTCCTTAAAGGAGAACTATGGGGTCAGTGTTTTTCCCCATAGTTCTCCTTAGGGTAACGCGAGGACACAAACTAGCGTCCTCCCGTTACCCTAAGCTCAGTATACCGCGAGCTTAGTCATTGTCACAGGTCGGCTAGAACTATGAGGTGAGTGAAAAGCACTCACCTCATAGTTCTCCTTTAATACTGAGAACTAGAGAAGTAGTACTGTGCAGAGTCCATACATACAGAATAGGAGGAGATACTGAGAATTACACCCAGTATACAGAACTAGAGAAGTAGTACTGTGCAGAGTCCATACCGTACATACAGAATAGGAGGAGATACTGAGAATTACACCCAGTATACAGAACTAGAGAAGTAGTACTGTGCAGAGTCCACACATGCAGAATAGGAGGAGATACTGAGAATTGCACCCAGTATACAGAACAAGAGAAGTAGTACTGTGCAGAGTCCACACATGCAGAATAGGAGGAGATACTGAGAATTGCACCCAGTATACAGAACAAGAGAAGTAGTACTGTGCAGAGTCCATGCATACAGAATAGGAAGAGATACTGAGAGTTACACCCAGTATACAGAACAAGAGAAGTGGTACTGTGCAGAGTCCATACATACCGTTTTTGGCCATACTGTTTGCCGGGTGTACTTCTCAGTATCTCCTCCTATTCTGTATGTATGGACTCTGCACAGTACCACTTCTCTTGTTCGGTGTGCTGGGTGTAATTCTCTGTATCCTCTTGCCCCCTAGTGAACTTCAACTTGAAATAGGTCCATGTAGGTCTAAAGACCCTTTGCAATAAAAAATAAAGCATGTTAGAAAACTTCTGTTAGGTAAAATCTTACATGCAAAGAAAACAAGCACAAACCTCTACTGGTTCACGGGTATCATTTAAAGTTTAGACTCCGCAGTCAGTATGATGACCCTTGATTTTTCCTTCTTCTAATGTGGTTTCATGTGATCAGCAGGACAAGAAATGCCGTGAGAACAGAAACCACTGCTGCCATCAGCTGCCAAAGTTGTCTTGATATTTCTATGTTTGAGACTTCACTTAGAACATGTCTATTTTTGTAGAACATAATGCCAGGGAGCAATGGAATAAGCCAGTAAGCAAGATGTGCAATAACTGGACAGCACAGGCTTATCAGTGTGCTGCACTAACTAAAAGAGCCCAGCAAAAAGATTCAGAGATATCATTGGTAAATCAGTCACTTTCTAAACTCAACCGAAATGTTAGTAGCCAACAACACTGGGAATTTGCAGAATTTTACACCGAGAGCCAGAACTGTATCCAACTCTTGCACTCACATATAAAACACTTGCAGGGTTATTCATAAAAGGGTGAAGGGTTTGGAGAAGGCAGGAGAAGGGAACAGTCTAGGACAGCATAGCTGAACTGGAAAGTGAGCTCAACTGGAGAATATTTCCAAATCAGCTATGCTGTCCTAGATTGTTCACTTCTCCTGACTTCTCCAAACTCTTCTATCTTTTGTGAATAACCCGGTAAAATTCTCAGAAGTTCATTCACACTGTAATTGTACCAGAAGCAGCAAAAAGTGTTTTCAGAATTAGTCTGACACAGCCAGAAATGATCCAATGGATTTGTTCAGTGCCAGTCAGCTACAATGATGGTTTCCAATGAACTGGCTGGCTCACCTTACATTTTAAGGTGGCTATACAGTAGATGCCTGCTTGACATCTCAGTTTGTCTCTAGAGATGTGGGGATCCGCGGAACCTGGGAAACCTAGGCAGTTATTGACCACAGAAGCTTCTGGTTAATAATCAGCCTACCTCCTCACACCAGTAATATCTTATTGGATTCAACATATGAAAAGGGAAGTACAAGGGCAAGAGGAGGTGAGTGGCCCTCAACCAAGAAGAAGCAAAGGTTTTTATCTCTTTTATGTTGGAGCCCCAAATATCACGTCTGGGTGTCTCAGATATCAGTTGGCATGTGTTTAAGCCCCAATATAGTTGTCAGTGAACCTAATTGCACAGATATCGTTGCAGTTTAGAGAAGCTAGAAATGTATAGATCTCTGCAATACATACCATACTAGTTGCACATCTACTTTTTAGAGAACAAAATTATACATGTTATTTTATTTTAAAAAAATACTGTTTAGTAAAGCATGATTTATAAGAAATATATTTGTAAATGGACAGTTGTGAAAGGAAAGTCGGTACAACTTAAGTGTGATTTCAACAATATGTATATAAAGATTAAATCAGAAGTAAAGTGTTAAGCTTCGCTCACACAGGGCAATCTGGTATTCCTGCGGCAGGAATGCCATGTGTCCCAATTCAGATGCGACCAGCGTTCAAGTTGATGACTGGGTGACAGCGGCCACATCTGTAAGCGGCAGTCTGCATGTAATAGTATGTGATACCATTACATGCAGTTTGGAATAGATCACTGTTACTGGACGCATGTATGCGCTGGACGTCAGCTAACAGATTCAGCCTCTGTCGCTTGGTCATTAATAGGTACAGCGGACGCATCTATTTGTAGGTTCCTGCAGTAGGTATGCGGTGGACTTCAGCTAACAGATTCAGCCTCTGTCGCTTGGTCATTAATAGGTACAGCGGACGCATCTATTTGTAGGTTCCTGCAGTAGGTATGCGGTGGACTTCAGCTAACAGATTCAGCCTCTGTCGCTTGGTCATTAATAGGTACAGCGGACGCATCTATTTGTAGGTTCCTGCAGTAGGTATGCGGTGGACTTCAGCTAACAGATTCAGCCTCTGTCGCTTGGTCATTAATAGGTACAGCGGACGCATCTATTTGTAGGTTCCTGCAGTAGGTATGCGGTGGACTTCAGCTAACAGATTCAGCCTCTGTCGCTTGGTCATTAATAGGTACAGCGGACGCATCTATTTGTAGGTTCCTGCAGT